AAAAAAAATCCAACAAGCCAGGGCTTGGTCCATTTTGTATCCTTAGCATCTTCTAGTAGAACACGTCAGCACATTAGAGACACTCAATAAATAAATATTTGGTGACTAAAACTAGGGTCTAGCGATAGATCTCCTAGTTTCTACCTCAGTCAACTCAGAAGAATAAGGATAATAAAAACATAACCTAAATATTGCTTACAAGAAACTGATGGTTTACTGCTGATATTTAAGACATCAACCTGGTTCCTGTATCTTCCCAGCTAGTGAACTCAGAATTCCAAGGAGAAATCCATTTGTCCCCAACTAAAAGCACAGGGAAAATGTCTCAACAAGTGTTTCAACAGGGAAGCAAGATGGGGGTTGGGAGGACTGAAGTCGGATGATCACCTTAGAGCAGCGGTCCTCAAACTTTTTAAACAGGGGGCCAGTTTGCTGTCCCTCAGACCGCTGGAGGGCCGGACTATAGTTTAAAAAAAAACTATGAACAAATTCCTATGCACACTGCACACATCTTATTTTGAAGTAAAAAAACACAACGGGAACAAATACAATATTTGTACTTGCATGTGGCCCGCGGGCCGTAGTTTGAGGACCCTGCCTTAGAGTCTGCCACGGCAACTTAAGGCTGTCCTGGCTGACCAGCTTAAAGAGACCTGTTTCCCCAGAAAGACCAGCAGACTTATATATTCATATTTCATACGGATAGGCAGAGTGCAAAACCTTCACACCTAAAAATGTGCTTTAAAACACAGTATGAAATCCTAACATGTTTGAGAATATATTCACATCTTTGCTAGACCGAGAAAGATTATTCATCCAGTGGACTCTATCATTTACTGATGCCTACTAAGGGCAGCCCTTGAGATAGGCTTTAGGGACTCATGAATAAATGATGGTTAAAACAGGTCAGTATACCCGCTTTCACGGACTTTCCTGCTAATATTACTTTATGTATTCCAGACAGATAAAAATCCCTTCTTAACATACCTGTTGGCTGAGAGGTAGAGATATGGGAAAATGTGGAAGGTTGTCTGCTTGAAGAGCCTATAAAAATAAAAAGCTTGTGATTAATGGACATATAATATGTAACTAAGAACACTGGCAATATGTTGTGGTGGAGGTGTGGGGAGGGTAGATCATTCCACAGAAGTTTTAAGGCCTACTTTTGCCACTGTTGCTATGAAACACACTGTCAGTAAATCTGTAACTGCATTATTGGTTTTTCAAGAAAACATACAGTTTATGGAACAAACACTTACATAGTACTTACTACAGTAGGTGCCAGCCACTGGATAATTACATAAGAGCTTTTCCAAAATTCATTCACCCCCATGAGGACACAGTGACGGGTGAGAGAGAAACTCATTTCTGCCACTACAACCCTGCTCTTCTGAGCGGAGTAGACGATCAGGTCCCTTTGTATTCATGGGTGCTTCAAGGGCTTGTACCACCAACACCCCTAACTTCATACAATTTAGAGAAGATAACTTCACATTTAATGGAAAGCCTTCTCAGTATGATTCTTAATTTTTTTAGGTGCGCCAGGCATGAAACAGCTCTGCCCACCAACACACACAGGCATCAAGCTAGGATGCGCTAAGGACTGCGTGTCTGCTTTGCCCTTGACCAAATATAAGAGCGACACCACCAATCAGGTGTCTCCTCGTCCACTGCCAGGGGGTTATGACTCTTAATTTTTAACTGGCACCTAAAAGATTTGGAAAAGGTTTAGAAGAACTCTATGCCCCAGTTAAGCACTTTTTTCAGTTGGTTTATTCATCTTGAGTCTTTGTATAAATATCTCTCTCTCTCTCACACACACACCACCTGGAAAGAGAATAAGTGTGCTATTATATACATTTCACAAAGGTAGTCTTCCCCCACAAAAACAAACAAACCCTCAGAGTACAATGAAAGGTAGGCAATAACAAGTTTGAAGGATCTATCTTAATTGCACGTGCAAATTTCTTCCTCTTGATAGAACTATAATCCACACACACAAAAATCTGGTGTGAAGATTAAACGTGAAAAAGATCAAGGTCAGTAGACCATACAGACATATTCAGCAGTAGGTATCAAACAAATGTCAATGTTATGAAGAGGTTAGGACATGCCAGGCCTCCTGGGGAGCATGTGACTTGCAGTAGCTTATCCAACCCTCCCAACGACTCTGAGGTAGGAATATTGTTTTGCAGCGACAGGAACTGAGGCCCAGAAAAGGCCACTGAGCTTAGTAAGTGGCAGAGTCTGGATTCGGCCCAGGCTGTTTAATTCCAAAGCCTGTGCATGTGAGTGCCAAAATGGAACTGTTGCTTTTCTACTATAAACCCGCTCTCCCTGTCTTCCCAGTTAATGTATTACCAGTTGCTCCACCCCAAATCAAGAGCTCACGACTTGATTCCTCCCTCTTCTTCATTCCACCATTCACCTCCATCCAATCCAATAGCAGTGACCTCAGTTGCACCCGCTGAGAAGACAGACCTAGAACCCACCCACTCATCTCCACGATCAGGTGCCATCATCTTTTGTCTGGACCACGGCAGGAATCTCCTGTTTCTGTCTCCCAGCTATTGTCACTCTTATGAAGGATGAGTTCCTGGTAACCCATTTTTAATTTTTTGCTTGAGAAAGAAGACAGACTCTTCCTAGCTTTACTAACTTTTCGCATTTTTTCAATAAACATGTCTGAAGTATCTACGTGGGCAGGCACTGTTTTTATATCCTGAGAGATTCATGGATAACCTTAAGTACAAGAAGGATGAAGACGTGACAGAAAGAACAGGTAT